AAAAATACTGACTTAAAAGGTTATATGCACCCCAATGCTTATAGCAGAATTATCCATAATAGCCCAATTACGGAAACGCCCCAGATGTCCATCAACTGATGAAGAAGATGTAGTGTGTGTCTGTGTGTGTGTGTGTGTGTGTGTGTGTGTATATATATATACAGATATAGATATAAATGAGTATTAGCCATGAAAAGAATAAAATCTTGCCACTTGCAACTACATGGATACAGGTAGATAGTATCACACTAAGCAAAGTAATTCAGAGAAAGACAAATACCACATGATTTAACTCATATGTGGCATTTAAGAAACAAAACAAATGAACATGGAACAAGAGGCAAACCAGAAAATAGCCTCTTAACTATAGAGAACAAACTGAGGGTTGCCAGAGGGGAAGTGGTAAGGGGGATTGGTTAAATAGGTGATGGGTAGGGATGCCTGGGTGGCTCAGCGGTTGACCATCTGCCTTTGACTCAGGGTGTGATCCCGGAGTTGGGAGATCAAGTCCCACATCGGGCTCCCTGCAAGGAGAGTGCTTCTTCCTCTGCCTATGTCTCTGCCTCTCTCTCTCTCTGTGTGTCTCTCATGAATGAATGAATAAATAATCTTAAAAAAAATAGATGATGGGTATTAAGGAGAGCACTTGTAATGAGCACTGGCTGTTGTATGTAAGTGATAAATCACTAAATTCTACACCTGAAACTAATATTACACCGTAGGTTCACTAATGGGGATTTAAACAAAAACCTGGGGACACCTGGGTGGCTCAGTGGTTGAGTGCATGCCTTTGGCCCAGGGCATGATCTTGGAGTCCCAGGACCGAGTCCCACATCAGGCTCCCTGCGTGGAGCCTGCTTCTCTGTCTGTCTGTGTCTCTGCCTCTCTCTATGTCTCTCATGAATAAATAAATAAAATCTTCTAAATAAATAAATAAGCAAACAATAATAAACAAAAACCTGAAACCAAAAAAAAAAAAAAAAAGTTGTGAACCTAAAACTGCTCTAAAGAAATTATAATAAAAAACACTTACAATAATACAGTAAGATTAACTAGGGCTTATCACATCAGGAAATATTTTCATTTAATTCATGAGATAAACAAATCTAACAGAAAAAGATAATGATATTTTACCCATAGTACATAAAAAGCCACTTGACAACACTGAATACTTAATTCTTGTTTAAAAGCAAAGCAACTCAGTAAAATAGAATCAGACACTTGTTTAACTTGATAAAATAGATTCCAGACTCAAAGACAATATATTATACTTTGAAGAATCACTAGAAGCATTCCTACTCAAATCATAAACAAAACAAGAATCCCTATAACTATCACTACAGTTTAAAATTGTATTCATGCATAACTGAATCAGATGAGAAAAAAATTAATGAAAAATCTAAAGAGGAAAACTGTCTATTTATACTTAATATTAAATACCTAGAAAATCCAAGAGAATCAACTAAAGAATTATTAGAAACAGTAACAAAATATACAGTGAGAATTGTATAAAATCAGTATTTGAAAATTAACAGCTTTCAAATTTAAAAATTCATCTTGTATAAAAGGTATCTGCTAAAGTCCTACAGGTAACATCACCCTTAATAGTTAAAAACAAACTTTTCCTGCTCCAAAGAAAAGGAACAAATATGGCTTGTTCACTCTCCCTACTTCCATTCAACATTAAATAAGAGGCTCTAGCCAGTGCAAAAAGGCAAGAGAAAAAAAGATATACAGAGTGGAAATGGAAAGTAAAAGTACCCCTTTTTTTTCCAGACAACATGTTTGTCTACATAAAAAGATCTGATGAAATCTACAAAAAGCAATCTAAAAAACTAAAGAAAACTATTTCTATTTATACTTAATATGATTAAATAACTAGAAAATCTAAGAGAATTAACTGAAGAATTATTACAAACAGTAACAAAATATTTTAAAATATTTAACAAGACTGTAAGAAAAAAATCAATATACAAAAATCAATGTATTACTATATATTATCAAAAATTAAAAATGGAAATTTTTTAAATGCTATATATATCAAACAGTATGAAACCAATCTGAAAAAACTAGAATGAGTAAAATCTGATCCTTAAAACTACAAAAATAGCTGAGAGAGATTAAAGATCTAAATAAAAGGAAAATACCAGGTTGATGAATTGGAAAATTCAACATTGTTAGGGTATCAATTCTTCTCCCTAAATTGATCTCTACAATCAATGCAATTCCAATCGAAATCCCAGCTTCCATTTTGTATATACTGACAAGCTTATTCTAAAACTCATAGGAAAATGTAGAGGCCTAGAATAGCCAAAACAACTTCAAAAAAGAAGTATAAAATTGGAAGATTAATCCTATCTCATTTCAAGATTTAATTTGAAAAGTAATCAAGACAGTGTGGTACTAGTGTAAAGGCAGACAAATAAAAACAAGAGAAAAGAACAAAATCTAGAAAAAGACCCAAACATACATGACAACCTATTTTTCATAAAAGTACAAATACAACAATGAAAAAGGATAGTCTCTTCAATATTTAGTGCAGACAATGGAATATTCCTATGCAAAACAAAGAAACAAAAATCTACCAAATGAGGAAAAACAACTCAAATGTCTAAGCTATGGAATAGTTAAATTATGGTTCACTAATAAGATGGAAATCTGTGCGACTGTTAAAAAAAAAAATAAAGGAAGGAAGGAAGGGAGGGAGGGAGGAGAAAGAAAAGAAAAAAAAAAAGAATGAAAAGGGGATAACCTCAACGTACCAATAGGGCAAAGGGACTCAAAATACATTAAGTAGAAAAAGCAAAGTACAGAACAGTATGTTAAGAGTCATCTCTTGGATGAGGTTGGTAAGAATATTAACAAATGTATTTGCTTATATATGCAGAGGAAAATTCTGACAGATACAGTAAATGCTAATGGCAATGGTGATTCTTCTTAGGTGATAAATGAATAGGAAACCTTCAGAGAAACTTTGCTGCATGATTTTTACAATTTTGTAAACCATATTAATCATTCAAATAATTCTTTTTTAATTGGTCCTCAAGCTGTAAATACAAATAAGTTGTAATTTGAGAAGCTGCTACTTATTTTTACTACCTTGGATATTATATTGTAACTATGTATATTAAAGTTAAAAACTGAACAACTCATGATCTTTTCACTGGGCTTGACAGATCAAATGACAAATTGAGTAGGTTTTTACAGAGCTACATAAAGTCCTAAAAATCAAAGTTATCAACATGATTTTATCAATATACAGAAAAAATATTCTATTTTCTGCAAAAACATGCATTCTTTCTAGTTGTAAATTTTGTTTAAAACCACATAAAAACTTTCCTCATAAAATGATACACACTTCTCTGACAAATGCTTTATCATTCATAATATCACTAGTTCACCCATTGCCATTAGCAATGATAAAAATAATAATTTCTACAGCAATAATCTGTTTACTGTACCTACTATCCTATACCCGGTGTTACTACTCTTATCCTTTAGACCATGCTACAAAATGAGCTTTCCTTCTGTATTCATGGGAACAAAAAGTAACAGTAAGAACTGGAAAATGGTGGGGAGGGAGGTATAGTTAAAATTCCAACCAAAATTCCTTTAAAAAAGATAATATCCTTTTTAAAGGGGCTACATAAAGAAAAAAAAAAGAACAGGTTTTTCTAGTGGAAAACTAAATGAAAAACTGTTCAACCCAACAATTTCATATCCCTAAAGAACAGTTCTAATAGTCATCCACTGCAAATATTTCTAAGTAGCACTGATTCAGACTCAAGAAACCATAAGACAAGACTCAAGAAACTAAGACACATTTTCTTAAATGCTGAACTTGAATTGTAACAGCATAAGCTGTCAAGTTAATTTTTTTTCAAAACCAATGCAAACTAAAACCATGTGGCTTTTGCCCAACTTTTACACTGATTTATAACTTCAAAAGTATTTCTGTAAGAGACTACCGCTCCAGTTAGCAAATTTTCACCAATGACATGGCCCAGGTTAAGTGTTAGCCAACCTTATCCTTACCCTATAGATTGGGCAGGGCACAGAAATAGAGACCCTGATAACATTCCTGCTGCCATAACAGACACAAAAGGCAAGCAGTGAACTGTGAGAAGATCATGGCAGGAGTGGTCAATCAATAGTTCCACACCAAATATCAATAAAAATAGAATGATAACTTTATATCCCTTGACAGGAAAAAAGACAGGCCCTGGGCAGTGCTGGAATTACTGCTATTATTATATCCAAGGGCTAATACCAAATTAAGTGGACTTGAGCACAAGTAGGTAAAAATACAGCAAAAACTTGCATCATCTAGCATGTGGAATTATACTAGAAAGGAGTTTAAAACACCTAATTGCATATGTTGCTATACTTCCTATATATTATTCTATCATAGCCACCCTTCTCCAAAACATAGTAATTTCATGGTGTATCTTTACTGTCAAATACCATGTAGCAGTTAAAAAATAACATGGCAAACCTCTAAGCAATGACCTGGAAATATTCCCAAACCACATTGTTAGGTGAAAAAACAACAATCCAAGAAGATTCAGTATGATGCATTTTAAGTGCCAAAACAACAGAAAGAAGTAAAAGAAAACTCTCAATATATGTGTATGTACACAAATGAATTTTTTGAATAAGAGTATGTACCAACCACAGGTGACCTTCAGAAAGCATAACAGGTGATTTTCACACTATATCATTCTTTACTGTTTACAGCTTTTTAAAAAAGATAACATAAACCAACAGCCATGAATTAAAAACTATTATGAGAAACAAGAAAGTAACCAAGTTTAAATTTCCATCACTGAGAATTTTACTTTGGAGAAGACTTGAGAAGTGCACATTTGTCCAGAATAGTGTTATATTCAATTAAAATAATTTCTGAAAAAAATCAAGACAACTGGGCAGTAAAATGTCATTCATATTCCTCTTATAAGCTGAATTATGACACGCTGTAAGTACTAATTAGAAAATTTTACCTTTCTTGACGTATAGATGTCAAAAAATGGCTTATTTCTGACACTAAACGGTTCCTGTGTTTTGTCAATGAGCCCAGTCTTCATTTTTTCATGTCGAGGGCTTATTATTTCTCTTTCTATACACTGCAGACGAATATTAAAATCACAATCTCCAACTGGCTGTGCCTGAATTAAATGAGACAATTATTTAAATTTCAACACTGAAAACTATTTTATCAGCATAATTATTAAGGCTGTCACAGTGTCCATATCAGTCTACATAAACAGCATCCTTTGGACTTGTCTAATGCACAGACTGCATAACCACACATGCCAGTCCTGATTTCACTAATTAAACACACCTAAACACATACACAATTATTTATTTTAAAACCATAAATGCATAAAATACAATGGAAGAGTGGTATAAATCTTCTCTAATATAAATTAATCTGATGTTTTCACATCTGAATTAAAGTATTAATATACTCAGTAATCATTTTTATTATTTGAATTAGTAAAATTATATAAATTAGTAAAACCTATATAAAACAAAAATCTACATAATTCAGGAAAGTATAAGCAAATAACACATCAAAATAAACAACATAGTCACCTAAATGTTTCTTGTTGCTTAAAGCACTAATGCTTTACAGGCCTCAATAAACACAAGATAATTATTAGACTAATACAACCTCAACTCTAAAAACTAATATAGAACAGTTTCCATAATATACTCAATTATATAGTTATAAAGAAAGCTCTTCATATACAGTGTATAGTATGGTACACATATATGTGGTATAGATGATTTGAACCATAAAGTTAAAAGTGCATATACTTTTTCTGTAAATTGAAGGTAGGGGCTTTCCCTACCCTAATAGTATATATAATACAGCATCCAATACTTCATCTGGCTAACAGTAACCATCCAGATTAGTAGCATCACCTCATATCAAGTACCTTTCTTCTTTACTTTGCAATTGGACACCCTTCCATGAATTTTTCTCACCTTTTCATCTTCTTCCTCTTCTCTAATCTATATTACTCAACCTAATGCTTACAAAAGGGTGGTAGTATTTGGTTAAGCTGTGGACGTTAAAAATGCCTTGAGGATGACTTTTTCTCAACTTTGGAAGGATGACAATTCTGATACTTAATAAGAATAAGGAGCAAGAGAGAGTAAGCCCTAGATATGAGGTAGTATAATATGTTCCCTTTACATGAAGGCATACAACTGTTTGTAAAAGGTATGTATTGAGGAAACATCAGTAAATCATCACAAAGTCCATTCTTGTCCATGACATCTGCATCATCAATAAGGTTGAAAAATCTAAAATGTTAGGCTTATTTATTAGACTTATTAGATGAATTCAGACTTCTATAAAATGAATGTGGAACAAGCAAGTTGTCCGTTTTTTAAGAAAATAAAGTCTAACAATCGTCTAAAAATATTTAAGTGGTCTAAATTTTCTTCTAAATACTTTTTACTTTTATATCATATATATTTGATTTATGTATATAAATTTATGTGTATGTATATTTATGTATATATACACATAAATCAAAGCAACAAGAAAAAATTGAAAGCAAGTTCACCTTCAAATCTATGCTGCCTTCAAGAAAGGAAGTACTTAATAGGTAGGTGATAAATCATTGAAAACAGACAACAGAAAGATCCTATCATTACCCTAACTAAAACCCTTCAATACTGCCCTACTTACATCCAGAACTAAGCTAAAATGCCTATTCAAGTCCCCTGGCCCCCTATTCTACAGACTATTCTCATTTCTTGCTGTGTTCCACATCCCACCACACATAAGTACACTAACAACCTCTAATGCTCCTGACCTCCATGATTCTATCCTTCAAAATTAATTCATGTAACTTTTTTCTCTTATCTGCAAGTCCATGCTTCCTTGACTCAACTGAACCCTGGTTAAACCAAAATACTCTCACCTCTCTAGTTCCTTTCATATATCCCTATTATTTCTAACATATCTTTATTGTTCTTATACTATTATAATTATTTCTTTACATTTATTTCTCATCCATAAGACCAGTGGTACACAAATTTCTTTTGATTTTGTACTCAATCTAAATACATACCCTAACAAATGTTTACAATACATGCATGTTAATTTTTAATGAGTTGCAACATGTACAACTGTATATTTTATACAACAAAAATTGAATAGATAAAAATAAATGAAAGTTCTACTTTCTTCCCAAATCCCATTGTTGAAATGGTATTCTTTGGAGGCCAGTGTATCAAATTATACATTCCCTGAAGGCAAAAAATTACATCTTATTCATCTGTGTATATCCACTACCAGGAACAGCACTTGACATATAAAAGATGATCAATGAAATCCTCCTGGACAAAATAAACTAAGGGAACTAAAAAGATTTTAACTATTTTTTCAAAACATCATTTTTTTTCTAATAGTAACCTTGATCTGGTGATTCAAAATAAACTAGTTAACCATCAAGGCTCCATAATAAATTAAAGAATTAAATATATGACATGCTTTTGATTATAAATATATCCTAATATCAAATGTGGGGGGAAATGTGACTTTACAACTAATGGCACCGAAGTATTTATTGAGTAAATATAGACCTTGTAAAAGCATAACTTAACCATTCTTATAGCAAAATTGATGAATTTCCTAAACAGGACACAAAAGCACAAACTTTGAGAAGGTCTAGTAAGTTTGATTTCATGAAAACGAAAAACTCCTGTGCATTATAGATACTAATTTGCAGAAAATATTGTTTGTCACATACATAACCAAAAAAGGATTAGAATCCAGAAAAGATAATTAGTTCCTACACATTAAGGACTCTGACAACCAAATAGAAAAACCAGAAAATTATTCCAACTTAAGATTAAATGACAAAAGAAAAATCCAAACAAGTAAAAATGAACATATGAAGTAGGCTTAACTTCATTAGTAATAAGGGAAAAGCAAATTAAAACAAGATGAGATACCATTTCACACACATCCAATTAGCAAAAACTTTAAACTCTGGTAATACCAACTGTAGTAAGTTGTTACATCTACTTCTGAGAGGAATTCAGCAATGTAGCAAATACACCTGAAGTTGACAATTCAGTCAGAATCTCTATGATGGAAGTAGGGATAAAGGATTGTACTTTTTAAAAGCACCTCAGGTGCTTACATCCCAAGAATGAGAACTGCCCTAGACAAATTCTGATGTATGCACACAAGAATATATAAAACTGTTTAATAGTAATATAATAGCAAAATACAGAAACCTAATTGTTCATCAAAAGGAAAAAAAGACAAAATCTATATATTTATACAAAGCAATACTCAATAGTAATTAAAGTGAATGTACTAAACCTATATGCATTAATACAAATAAATATCAACAAAATAATGTAGAGTAAATGCTTGGTACCACAGTATAGTGTAGTATTTATATAGCACTAGAACCCTTGCACAACAATACCACATATATTTTATGGACACACACATAGATAGTAAAGTTATTAAAAATACTCATGGAAACAATAAACATCAAATACAAGGTAGAAGTTGCTTCTAGGTAAGACGGTTAAGAATAAGATAAGTGAGGTATGCATGAGAAACTTCTGGATCTGTAATAATTTATCTTATTAAAAAGAGAGTGGAGTAAAAATGACAAAATGTTAAGCTTCAACAAATCTGGTGATTAGTATATGTACATTACTCATATCATTCTCTATACTTTTGTATACACTGAAATTTTTCATATTTTTTTAAAGAATTAGAAGGATGTTGTCAAAGACAAAGTTCCCAGGCTAAGCAGTGAACACACTAAAACAGAGCTCAATGTCAAAAGGCAGAGGAGACAAAATTCTTCCATTCACAAGAAAACAATGCTACCCCCACCCTTTAGGTCTTGTTATGGGTCAATGAACATTATTCCAAGATCTATGATAAGAGTAAGCCAATTCTGGAAAGCACTACTTTTGAGGCAAACAGATGAAATTTAAATTTGGTGGTTTCTGACCTGAGTCTCTTAACTAGAAAACTGTTTGAAATCTATAAATTCGACAGAAAATGAAATATGTACATTGAAAATTTCCAGGAAAAAAAATGCCTTTAAAGTAATCTGGATTAATGCAATCCTGAATCTCAATACTATAATTTAAAATATATACTCCAAAAAAGAACTTTTAAAAAATTGTTATAAATCTTCAGAATTCTAAAACTTAAACAGCACTTTTAATTCCAGAATTCTTAATTGCTTTCAGTCTGGTTTGAATACTAAATGGCTATGCAATTTGAATAAGATATGTCTAGAGGAATGATTATACCTTTTCATAGATGTACACTATTGAAAGAGTTTCTCGCATTTACAGAAGTCATCTTGTACTGCCTAAATAATTTAGACACTGATACTATAATTAAACATGAACAGGCAGATTCTTGGCTTGTCTAAAACTATAGGAAATGGGTAGAAAATATAATTTCTATTTTTTGATATCTATTTTTAACAGAATTTTATATTTTGTTTTTAAGTTTCCTGCCTATACTCATGAATAACATATTTTTGCCCCCAAGTTATACATTCAATACCCATAATCAGCTTCTCTTTTTTTTTTTCAAGTGACAGTAATAAAATTGTGGACTCCTTTTTTTTTAATTGTATACAAGATAACTAAAACCAACAGTTTCCATCTTATAAAATGCTGTCTTATTTTATCAGCTAAACTATTTTTCTTTACTCAGTTGAAGTAGTTAACAAAATCTAAAGACAGAGAAATGTGCAAAATTATTATTAAGATATCAAATAAGTAACTCAAGTCACAATTTTTCTCTCCTACTATCTCTAAGGCAGATAACAATTTTTATTTGTAAAAAGAGATCTGTTATCTCAGGGACAATTTTTACTTTATAAATTATGTTAACGGTACTTACATTGAATTTAATTATGTCATATATCAAATATCTAGGAACGGCCTGTCCATTAACTCTGTCAATAATCATTTCCTTAAAAGAGAAAAGAAGATTAAGTTTCTTCATACTTTAATGGCAATTTCTTTAATTTGATTAAAATATAACATATACACAGAAAGCACGTAAACCATATGTATACAACCTGATGAAACATTAAAATGAACACACTTATATCCAGATCAAATCAATAAACTGTCAGCATCCCATAAATTCCTGTCATGAATTTATTCTGTACTGAAATAAAATGATATAACAATATCTCATTATGTATTTTTCTATTTGAATTACTATGTTACATTTTGTTTTATGTTTGATTTACTAGACAACTATTAGAAGAAAGAAACTACAAATTTTAAATTCCAAATATGAGGAATATTTTTATTTAAATTTTGTTAAATAACTTTTGCTTGGGATCCCTGGGTGGCGCAGCGGTTTGGCGCCTGCCTTCGGCCCGGAGCGCAATCCTGGAGCCCCAGGATCGAGTCCCATGTCGGGCTCCGGGTGCATGGAGCCTGCTTCTCCCTCTGCCTATGTCTCTGCCTCTCTCTCTCTCTCTCTGTGACTATCATAAATAAATAAAATTTTTAAAAAAATGTATTTTAAAAAAAATCACTTTTGCTTTAAAATTTGTTATAGGCCAACTACTTTAATCATAAAATTTGTAGGTATAAATGGTGCCCTCATTATAAATATATTCCCCATGTGACCCATGTGGTCTTCCTTGGTCCCATGTCCCTCTACTATGATCAAAGGGAACAGGACAAGAGAATATATTACATATTATAGCCATTAAATTTAAAAAAGAATCTTAAATTCTGCACATGGACAGAAAAGAGATAAAGGACATTAAAAGATGATTATAGGCGGTGCCTGGGTGGCTCAACTGGTTGAGTGCCTGACTCTTGGTTTCTGGTTTCAGCTCAGGTCATGATCTCATGGGTCACTGGATCAAGCCCCATGTACAGTTGCACACTCAGCAAGCAGGGAGCCTGTTTGGAAATTTTCTCCCTCTGCCCCTCTCCCTGCTTGCGTGCTCTCTCTCTCTCTTTCTCTCTCTCCAAATAAATAAATATTTTTTCAAAAAAATGATTAGGCACATAATGTAGTATTTTATAAAATTTTAATTCTTGGGGATCCCTGGGTGGCGCAGCGGTTTGGCGCCTGCCTTTGGCCCAGGGCGCGATCCTGGAGACCCAGGATCGAATCCCACATCGGGCTCCCGGTGCATGGAGCCTGCTTCTCCCTCTGCCTGTGTCTCTGCCTCTCTCTCTCTCTCCTGACTATCATAAATAAATAAAAATTTTAAAAAATAAATAAATAAAATAAAATTTTAATTGTTAATACATTTTAACCTAAAATTATTTTTCTTTCCTCATATTCTTCCTAAGAAACTAAGCAGGATTTTTGTTATATAATTTCATGACAGAAAATCCACAACCATCTAAAATTACAAAGAACACACTGACAAATATACTTTGTTAAGAAGCTATTACTAATTAATTTCTTTCCCAAATATGTATTTGTTAACCTGTAGATACTTATTCATGGTTATCATCTTAAACCCAACACATGGCATAAATTAAATTACTTTGTTATCTTGACCTGTTTACTAAATATTTTTACTTAAATACTTGTATCTGAGAATTTAATGAACCATCAAGGTGGCACCAAAAACAGGTTTAAATTCATTATTATTTTCAAAAATTTGTGGATGGAAATTAAGTGAACTTTCAGGTTCAGATAACAGCACAAAATTTCCCTTCCAAATTCCTGATGAAATGAGCAAAAATATTCCTTTGAACATTAAAAATGTTCAATAGGAACAGTTCAATAGGAAATAGCAAAAAGGAAATTTTATTATCAGCAAACAAAACAAGTAAAAGGAAATATACAAGTAACCACTAAAAACTGAAAACTACCTGGAATGGAAGTTGGCAGAAGAGTGGGTCCCCAAATCACCTGTCCCCACCAAATTACCTAGATAACCTTCAACTCATACTGAAAATCTACGAATTTGGCCTGAGATTTAAAAAGAGAACAGCTGGAATGCTACAGTGAGAAGAGTTCGCGCTTCTATCAAGGTAGGAAGAGGGGGGGGGTGGAATTAAAGAAACAAAAGGCATCCAAGGGCGAGTGCCCCCAGGACAGGAAAGCTCCGTCCCAGAGAAGCAGGAGCTGCACCAATCTTCCCCGGCGGAAAGGCACTCTCAGGGAGTTAGAGCAGGACCCCAGGAGGGCGGGGATGCCCTCAGGCTCCCTGGGACACTAACAGACACCTGCGCCCCGGGGAGAGCGCGCGGAGCTCCCTAAAGGACTGCAGCGCACGCACCCATTGACCCGGGAGCAGCTCAGAGGGGCTCCGGCAGCGGCTCCACGGAGAGGGGGCTGCCGGCCAGGAGCGCGAATCCAACAGCACAGGCCCGGGAGTTCAGTGAGCTGGGGACACAGCCCAAGATCCGGCCTCCCCCTGGGACAGGCAGAGTCCAGGAGGGGCCAGGACAGCAAGGACGCTCCTGCCCCGAGATGAGCAGATCAGTGGCCCCGCCCCCGAAGCATCCAGGCCCCGGCAGACTGAGAGCTCTGTAGTTACTGCAGGAGCTGAATCCAGGGCTCCAGAGCTGGCCGCAGCCACTGTGGTTGTTCCTCCTGGGGCTTCACGGGGTAAACAACCCCCACTGAGCCCTGCACCAGGCAGGGGGCAGAGCAGCTCCCCCAAGTGCTAACACCTGAAAATCAGCACAACAGGCCCCTCCCCCAGAAGACCAGCTGGACGGACCAGTTCCAGGGAAAGTCAAGGGACTTAAAGTCTACAGAATCAGAAGATACTCCCCCGTGGTTTTTTGTTGTTGTTGTTGTTGTTGTTTTTGTTTTTCTGTTTTTTGTGTGTTTTTTTTTTTTTTGGTTTTTGATTTGTTTGCTTCCCCCACCTTTTTTCCTTTCTTTCTTTTTCTTTCTCTTTTTCTTTTTTCTTTTTTTCTTCCTTTTTTCTTTTTTCTTTTTCTCTTTTCTTTCCTTCTTTCTCTCCTCTCTTTTACTCCTTTTCCCAATACAACTTGTTTTTGGCCACTCTTCACTGAGCAAAATGACTAGAAGGAAAACCTCACTTCAAAAGAAAGAACCAGAAACAGTCCTCTCTCCCACAGAGTTACAAAATCTGGATTACAATTCAATGTCAGAAAACCAATTCAGAAACACTATTATAAAGCTACTGGTGGCTCTAGAAAAAAGCATAAAGGACTCAAGAGACTTCATGACTGCAGAATTTAGATCTAATCAGGCAGAATCTAAAAATCAATTGAATGAGATGCAATCCAAACTAGAAGCCCTAACGACGAGGGTTAACGAGGTGGAAGAACGAGTGAGTGACATAGAAGACAAGTTGATGGCAAAGAGGGAAACTGAGGAAAAAAGAGACAAACAATTAAAAGATCATGAGGATAGATTAAGGGAAATAAATGACAGCCTAAGGAAGAAAAACCTACGTTTAATTGGGGTTCCCGAGGGCACCGAAAGGGCCAGAGGGCCAGAATATGTATTTGAACAAATCCTAGCTGAAAACTTTCCTAATCTGGGAAGGGAAACAGGCATTCAGATCCAGGAAATAGAGAGATCCCCCCCTAAAATCAATAAAAACCGTTCAACACCTCGACATTTAATAGTGAAGCTTGCAAATTCCAAAGATAAAGAGAAGATCCTTAAAGCAGCAAGAGACAAGAAGTCCCTGACTTTCATGGGGAGGAATATTAGGGTAACAGCAGACCTCTCCACAGAGACCTGGCAGGCCAGAAAGGGCTGGCAGGATATATTCAGGGTCCTAAATGAGAAAAACATGCAACCAAGAATACTTTATCCAGCAAGGCTCTCATTCAGAATGGAAGGAGAGATAAAGAGCTTCCAAGACAGGCAGGAACTGAAAGAATATGTGACCTCCAAACCAGCTCTGCAAGAAATTTTAAGGGGGACTCTTAAAATTCCCCTTTAAAGAGAAGTCCAGTGGAACAATCCACAAAAACAAGGACTGAATAGATATCATGATGACACTAAACTCATATCTTTCAATAGTAACTCTGAATGTGAACGGGCTTAATGACCCCATCAAAAGGTGCAGGGTTTCAGACTGGATAAAAAAACAGGACCCATCTATTTGCTGTCTACAAGAGACTCATTTTAGACAGAAGGACACCTACAGACTGAAAATAAAAGGTTGGAGAACCATTTACCATTCAAATGGTCCTCAAAAGAAAGCAGGGGTAGCCATCCTTGTATCAGATAAACTAAAATATACCCCGAAGACTGTAGTGAGAGATGAAGAGGGACACTATATCATACTTAAAGGATCTATCCAACAAGAGGACTTAACAATCCTCAATATATATGCCCCGAATGTGGGAGCTGCCAAATATATAAATCAATTAATAACCAAAGTTAAGATATACTTAGATACTAATACACTTATACTTGGTGACTTCAATCTAGCGCTTTCTACAATCAATAGGTCTTCTAAACACAACATCTCCAAAGAAATGAGAGCTTTAAATGATACACTGGACCAGATGGATTTCACAGATATCGACAGAACTTTACATCCAAACTCAATTGAATACACATTCTTCTCAAGTGCACATGGAACTTTCTCCAGAATAGACCACATACTGGGTCACAAATCGGGTCTGAACCAATACCAAAAGATTGGGATCGTCCCCTGCATATTCTCAGACCATAATACCTTGAAATTAGAACTAAATCACAACACGAAGTTTGGAAGAACTTGAAACACATGGAGGTTAAGGATCATCCTGCTAAAAGATGAAAGGGTCAACCAGGAAATTAAGGAAGAATTAAAAAGATTCATGGAAACTAATGAGAATGAAGATACAACCCTTCAAAATCTTTGGGATGCAGCAAAAGCAGCCCTGAGGGGGAAATACATCATTTTACAAGCATCCATTCAAAAACTGGAAAGAACTCAAATACAAAAGCTAACCTTACACATAAAGGAGCTAGAGAAAAAACAGCAAATGGATCCTACACCC